TTGTCCAGATGTTTGCTCCTTCTGTGACTTCACTCTGTAGAGGTACTAGAACTCACTCTCTTCTTTCTAGTTCTTGAATTCAAAGCAATCCACAGCTGTCATTTGTCTTGTAACCCACCCGACTGCAGTACAAAGCTGCTTCCTAACTCATGGAATATTAAGCGTCAGCACTTTTGGAAGAGTGTTTTCCTTTGAAGTAATTTGTTTTATATACATTTCCCTTAGCGAATTCACATCTGTCAGAAAAAGAAAAGAAAAGAAAAGAAAAGAAGGAAAGACAAAGGCACAAATTGGGATATCCATTTTAAGTGGAAAACAAACACATTTTAAATCACTCAGCAATTTAATATTATTTTTAGAGAAAATAGTTAAGGGCATTCTTAGACAGTAACACTGAACAGCAGAAGCCGGTAGAGGACGGGCTATTGCTGGTCAAATGAATTCAGTGTACACAACCATGGAGTAAGGCAGGAACAAAAAGCTTGTTTACACTATATTTGTAAAGTGGACCAGAGATTTGAAAGGGCAGATAGCACGGCGCTAATTTCAACTTTAAAATGTTGGAATACACTGCCGGATATTATGATGAAAATTCTGAAAGAGAGAGAGGATTCTTTATTAACAGAAGGTAATGAGATCTGTTCCTCCTTTATTATCATATGAGGAAAGACAGAAAGGACCCCAGGTTGAAGTGATGATCTTGCAGTTGTTAATTTCCCTGTGTTGCAGGTTCCCTTGATGGATGTTAAATTACATTAATTAACCTCGCATCCAAGATATCAGATGGTAACCTCTTGTGGGAAAATCATTCCTCAAAAGGGATTATTTTTACACTTCAATTTGTTCTTGGATTTTGCCAGTATAAGCAAAAACCCTAGATTAGTATAGAATGTGCCATAATTGTTGGAGTGAGAAATAATGTTTTTATTCCTTTAAAATTTATGATAAGGTATCTTTCCCCAAAACTAGCATATAAATGTAAACACAGCATTCTAAAAACTATCATGTGTTTTTAGAAACTCCAGCCCTTTAGAGTCAGTTCTTCTGAAGTCATGATGCCCAAAGGAGTAAATAACTTTTGAAAAGAATAGGGTATTCATGCTGAACCTCCAAATAATAAATGTATACCTACAATGTTCCAGCATGGCAAATTAGTTCTTCTGCTTCTCTTGCTACTCTTAAAATGACAGAAAACAACAACAACAACAACAACAACAATTACCCACCTTTAACACCATCAAACAACATCTGCCTATCCCAGGTCCTTGGAAGGACTTGATAGGTGGATAAAAAGGCCAAATCCAGTCTAAGCATCTGGCTGACCGTGCGACCAACCATAATAATAATCACTGAGGATAGATAGATAGAGAGATAGAGAGATAGAGATAGAGAGATAGAGAGATAGAGATAGAGATAGAGATGAAACAATAACAGCAACATTCAATAACACTGAGTTTGGACTTTAAGATCTTCTTCACTCTCAGGATGTATTCACTACTAACCCTCTTCTTGACTTCGGTGTGCTTGATGTTAGCCCAGGTATTTGGAGTGATCTTCTTCATCCAGACTCTTGATGTTATTTCCATACTCCATGTTATTTCCATCTTGATTCCTTCGGTTTTCACTATTTTCCCCTATGGAAAAGGTAAGGTCCTTCACTATGGTAAGGGTGGCACATTTGTCCAATCCAAAGATATTGCAATGGAGTTTAGACTGGACAAATGTGCCTCCCTTACCATCAACAGGGGAAATACACACACATACACATACACATACACACGCATGCCAAATTAGAAAGAAAGCAACCTATTTCGGAGAAAATGCAATAGTCATTTAAAAAGAAAAGTTTGCATTACTTTAAATAAATCCTTGATTCTGAAACTACACACACACACACACACACACAAAAGGAATTGGCTATGAATCAGAAAATGTTGGTCCTTCTCTTTGTCAAAGGTTTTAAATTGTTACTTTACATAAATGTCTGGTTCTGTACTGGGCCCTCCAACAGTCACCCTGAAAAGATATAAAATAGTATATTAGACTGTGTGGTGTAGCTGGAAGAAGAATGAAGAGGTTTAGGCTTAAGCCCAACCTCAGCCATGTAAACACACTCACAACAATTGCCTAATCACTGATTCTCAGCTGAACTACCTCACTGAATCATAGCTGAATAGAGATCCACCCATCTCATAGAGTCCATGCAGAAATAGATCTAGCAGAGAATGATATAAGAAATAAAATATGGAAATTTCAGGGTGGCTAAACTGGAAAGAGGTCATGATCTTACACACAGACACCCCCCCCCCCCCATGTTCATTTGCATCAATATTTACTGAAGAAAATATAAATGTACAATGAAATTTGCAATGCTTTTAGGAGATCTGTGTCCAGTTAAATTCTGCCTACAGGTTAGAAGAAAAGAGATCTTAATAAAATCATGTTGACATCACTATTCCCTCCCTCTTATTC